GATTACCCACTTCTGATCACTCTCCAGTGCCGTACCCCCAACACCGCCTCATAGTTTACAGAAGTGAACTCCTCTCTCCTTCCCACCTCTAGCAACTCTCTCTATCCCACTCTCATGCCCTGTTGTCCCTCTCCCGGAATCTTACCAGGCTGTAACCACACCTGACACGAGTCTTAGTGTAATGGGTTGACGTGCAGTTCCCCTTTCTCCCAGCCAAATTCACATGTCGAAATCCTAAGTCTCAGTGAGTCTGAATGTGGCCATATTTGGAGAGGGTCTTTACAGAGGTAATCAGGTTAAAATGAGATCACCAGGGTGGGCCCTACTCCCGACTTCCTTTCTACAAAGGGGAAATGTGGAGACAGACATGTACACAGGGTGACGGCCATGTGGATTTGAACACAAGGATGATATGATGCTTCTACAACAAGCCAAGGACCACTAAAATCAGCCAGCAAGCCATCAACAGATTCTTATTCAAGGCCTTCAAGGAGGGGTCTGGGGATACAGCTCAGCCTGGCAAGCTCGAGGTCCCAAGTTCCATTTGATTCCCAGTTCAAAAAAAAAACACATTTTAAACCAGGCATGGTGGTACATGCCTGTAATCCCAGCACTCGGGAGGCTGAGGCAGGAGGATCCTTGCGAGTTAAAGACCAGCCTGGGCTACAAAGTAAGTTCAAGGCCAGCCTGAATTGCATAGTGAGACCCTGTCTCAAAAAAGACAAAAACAACAGCAAAAAACCCTCAAAGAGAATTGACTCTGCTGATGCCTTGATCTCAGACTTGTAGCTTCCAGAACTAATACAATAAATTTCTGCTGTTTGAGCCACCTGGTTTGCTGCGCTTTGTTTCACAGTCCAACCAAGATCATCTGACCGCATTCCGGTTCATCACATTATCAAACCTATCAAATCTGCTGTCCGGTCTTATCAGTTCTAGTGTGCAGGCTTCCCTTAAGCCTATCACTTCCTTTTCATTCAAATTTATCACATGTCCAAACAGCCCAGTCTTTAACAGCCCAGTTTAAGAGCCACCTGCTCCAGGAAGCCTTTCCTGATCAGTGCCGTTGCAAGCCAAAACGCCTATCTTTGACCCACCGGAGCCCTACGCCTCTTTAAAATAATTTACTTCCTATTAATCATCTGTGAGTCTATTTTACTTCTTCAGTAGATGGTAATGAACCTGAGGGCAGTCATAGCATCCTTTAAGTCCAAGAGAGTTTTCTCAGTACCCAGAACCTTGCCTAACCCTGACTGGAGGTGGTGACAGAATTCAGAAGCTCTGACCATTCCTGGTCAGAATCAGGGTAACAGAATTTGAAAAGAAAATAAACGGAGAACTGAGATAGACCATCTCTATAGACAGAGCTCCTTTGATTAACCAGATTATCCCATTTGCAGCAACTTGAAACATCCTGGGAAATACGCCATGTTGGTGCTCCTCTATCATTTGGAAAAGCTATTTCTGCCAAGAACTAACATGCTTCTAGGAGCTGCTGTGGTGGTTTAGTTGGTTTTTGGTAAGAATTTTTTACATCATCACTCTCAGTGCTTGAGTGGCTCTAGCTATGTCTTTTTTTTTTTTTTTTTTTTTTCCGGTACCGGGAACCGAACTCATGACCTTGCACTTGCCAGGCAGGCGCTGTGTAGCTATGTCTTAAGGACAATTGTGCCCAAGGTGTCCTAGAGCCCCACTATTCCCAACTAGGGCACATGAGTGTCCCAGGGGGCCTTTGGCAATGCCTGGAGACATTTTCAATTGGCATGAGTGAGAGGCTGGCATTGGTGTCTAGTGGGAGGAGCCAGGAATGATGGGAAACATCTATGCTTAAGACAGAATTGGAAAGAATTATGTGTGAAAATATCAATGGTGCTTATGCTCAGAAGCCATGCTGTGGAGAAATGACTTGCCTTGTGAGAGTGCGTGTCCCTGTACACTTAAATGTCAAGAGAAGAACGGACATCCCTTCCTCAAAGGACTGAGATGAATTTTATTCAGTTCCACTTCACCCTACAAGCAAGTTGGTCCAGCCAACAGTGATAGAAAGCTTCCAGGAAACAAAACAAAAAATGCCGTGCCCAATGTAAAATTCCATTTACCTTGATGTGTCTCTCTTGCTGCTAAATCCTTGTGCTTTCCCAGGGTTTCCAAACTATAAAGATGCATCATTATTTGCCTTAGATGAGTATTCACATAACACAATCCCCAGTATTCACTTATGCCTATTTTCTTTAACAAAAAAGAAGCAATACATTCCTTTCATACTTTTAAAAACTGCACTAGGCCACATATCAGTTAGACAATTACAGCTTTTCAATGAGTTCATTGGTCCTCTTGAGTATACGTAGATGAGTATGTATTCAGGAAGGCAGACATTGACTGATAAACCCACAAAACCCTCTGGTGCTTCTTCGTTACAGGATGCAGTCAGGGGAAGGTGCCCTTGAGCACATCAGAGAAACAACAATTTCATCAAGATTCGGGGATCAATATGTGTCTGCTACTTGAAGTGAACAGCTGACTGGTCAGGAGAACAAGAGTTAATGAGAGTGACAGGAGGTCAGCTGACGTCATTCCTCCCTAGGAGGCTGTGATGGGTCGCTGTGCTTTTATTCCAGCCTATGTCAACCTGAAACCAAGGATTTCACAGAGCAACAACAATGGCGTAAGCAACATGGGCACCAAGTAGCAGCACAGTGAGGAGTCTGAGGCCTCCATGGCCCTTGGAGTGGACACCACCATGATCTGAGCTTGCTCAAGGATGGTTCTCATCCACTCCGGAAGAAGGTAGGTCTTCCTGGGAGAAAGAGGGAATGGAGAGGACCGGAAAAGTTGCAAGACTGAGAAGACACAGGTCCTGTCACAGCTCTGACAACAGGCCAGTCTATTTCCATTGTTGGAGAATCTACCATGGGGCAGAAATGAAGCCACGTTCTGGTGACAGATGGAGACACTGCAGCTTCTGAGAAGCTCACCATCTAGTGAGAGACTGCAGATGTCCACACTGTGGTCACTAATCCACCCACACCATAAGACGGAACAAGGGGGACAAGCGTGTGGTCCAATCATCTGCTGTGTGACTTTGGGCCACTTACTTCTCCTTGCTGAGCCCCAGTTTTCTCATCTCTGGGATGGATGCCTGGGTTCCACACTCCCCAATGCCTTTTTCACTTTATAGGCCATACTGAAGTTCTTTTCTTTCCTTGGAAGCCCTGTGTAACTACCCAAAAGCCCTGCTTCCCTGCATTGTTAGATGAGGCTGGTGTAATCAGAAAGCTGGAAGGCCAAGATAATACTCGTATGTGACCTCCCAGTGGCCTGACCAAAGTATTCCAGTTAGAAAGTGGCTGCTGATTTGCAAAGCAAATGCTAACCCAGGCAATTGAAACTTTGGGAAGTCCACCAGGACTTTGAGGAAGAGTTTTTCTTTGGGGACTCCTAGTTTATAATACATACCAGGTACAGCAAGTCCGGAGCTGCCAGGAGTCCACAGGAATAGAAATGAGAAGCAGATTTGTGATCTCCTTTCCCATTACAAATTACTCATAATGGGAAACTCAAATCTTTTAACAACAGAGGTCAGGTTCATTTTATATTAGTTGGGCCAGAGGTTCAGACAAGAGTTAACTCTAGTAAATGCCAACATCTGTATTTGGTAGAAGGGTTCCTGGAAGGATTCCCCAAAGAGAGGAAACATTAGAAGCACCTTTTTTTTTTTTTTCACAAAAACATTTCACTTAATTACCCTTTACTTACTGAAAGACCAAAGCTAAAGCAGGTAGACATTAAAGATTCCTACATGCAGAATGAATAGAGCACAACTACATTTCGTTGTGCGAGGTGGAACCTTGACACTGTCAAGCCGTCCGGACGCTATTTCTCAATCCATCCATTAGTATAGTAAAACCAAACTGTGTTTCCGGGGACAAGGATCAACTGGAGTTCAGCATTTTCATCTCAGATGTATTCCCTTAGTAGCTCTATGAGAAAGTAGATATAATTTATTGAAATGGCTCAAGACAGCCCCGAAAGGGCAATATCTGCATTAGTGGAGGAAAGTATGGCCCACAGTAAGAAAATGTGACAATACACCCAGCCTCACCAGAAACAAAACTGGCGGTCATTTACATTATAAAATCATTTAAAGCCTCTAAAATATCAAGTCAGAAAAATGATCATAGGATGATTCCATTTTGATACTCCTCATGTGTATGTACCTATCCAATTCCCGTTTAGAAGGATCTAGAAAGAACACACTAACCACTAACAATTCAGGCAGATAGAAAAGTGAAAGCACCTCCCCTGGTCTGTCTATTCTCCTGTACATTTCATTTTAATACAAGATGGATTTACTCATTGAAACAAGCCCTTGCTGTGTTCTTTCACATTTCCTAGATAAATAGTTCAATTTTGAGAGATGGATCTTAATTTCAGGGCTAAGCCTAGTACATAAATAGCATACACCTGTACAGGGCACACCCACCCACCCTCTTTTCATATTCTGCGTTGTGATTTTGCTGCCTTTGCCGTGTACAGCATCCTTTAAGAAAGTGTTTGGAGGAGCGATGAGGGATCATACTAAAATGACAGCTAGGCGTGGGCAAGCGCAGACACGGCCCCGCCCAGGAGGAAGGACCCTTCCTTTAGAAGACTTAATTACTTTATTGATTGGGGGAGGGGTTGTAACTGAGGAAGAGAATGCCGGCTAAGATGGGGGCAGGAAGGCAAGTCACACAATGCACGAACCATCAAAAGCCACGCACAACCCGGAGCTCAGCTGTGCAAACACTCCCGCAATAAGACGAAGCGCCGAGGCTGTGGCTAAAGGGAAGGTTCTTCATAAAGTCTCGGCTCAACCGAAACCCGGACTTCACAGCGCACTCTTGCACCGAGAACATGTCTGCCCGGCTTTCCACTGATCTTTGCCCCTTAGGTAGCCGAACCCCGCAATGCCATTCCAACTTCTGCAACCGCGCGCCGTGATCGATATTTATAATTACCTTTCTCCTTCACCATGGCAACCGGGTCCTTAGCCGAACGCGGCTGAAGGCAACAGGAATGAGCTCCAGGAGTGCGAGCGCGCCTGGGCGGGCGGCGGACGGACCTGAGTCCCAGAGGCTGCGAGGAGCCGCCCCCAGCACCCGTGGCCGCCGGATCCCCGCTGTCTTCCAAAGTCCCGCCCTCCCCGCGCCCCGCTCCCACGCCCGCCGCGCCCGGCTGGGGACTCTGCCCTCGCTCGCGCCAGCCGAGGCCGCTCGCTCCAGCTGCCGCTGTAGCAAATGCAAAATTCCACCGTCCTAATCGCTGCTCACTGACACCACCTTGCATTCCTCACGCCCAAGCCCAGGCAGAACGGGCAGCCGAAACGCTCCAGAGCCTTGGCCCCCTCCCAGGGTCTGATAAATGATTGCCAGAGGAGGGAGGCTGAGCCACAGCCAGGGACTGTTTCCCTGAGTAAAACTAGTCAATTGTTACATTATTAGTCTCCTATGACAGCTGCTTCCAATTCCTCTTACAGCTTCTTTCAGACAAACTGAATATGCAAAATTGGCCTTAATAGAAAAATAATGCTAGTGGCAACTTCATCTTCCTATGAGAAATGAAGGGTGACATCTGGCTTGCCCTACTGCCTCCCTCTACATTTTACCTGAATCCCCAGGGGAAGGTAGAGGGGACTGAGATACTGAAAGAGAGCCCAGGAAGAGCACGTTGCAGGACCCAATTCCTTATCCTGGATCAAATTCAGGATCAAAGTAAAAATCTGAATTATCCAGTTAGGTAGGATTCCGACTTCCATTTTCTCCCTGCTTCTTTGGCGTTTTCTACACCAACTCCTTTGATGTGGATCGGTGAGCGAGAAGGCTCTGTTACAGCTGAGGGGCAAATAGCCTGGTGGAGGAGCTTGTGCAACCAGGGCCAGCCTAACCTCGATCTGCAGGGGCAGCTCCTGGCTTTCCTGACCCACGAGGTCTGGGACAGGTCTCCCGTGCCTCCCACGAACAGAGGACTTCCTGGTTCAGGAAGCCGATACCCACCCCATCTAGCACCTAATCCAGACCCCTGGGTGCCCGCCCAAAGTCATATATGTCTATCTTGTGGAAGAAATGTGATGAGCAGGAGACACAAAGACAGCCCTTGCCCCATTCAGGGAGAACAGCGGATGGGCAGCACATCTTTCAGAACCAGCATGCACAGCCAGTGTTACACTGTATTTACCGCAAATATTGTAGTGTATTGGCTCTAGGAGAGCCAGGGGAACAGAAAGGAATGGAGCCAACCAACCTGCCTCAGTTTTGACTCAGAGGTTGGGTGGTTATGGCTGAAATAACCAACTTCGGGTGGGGCTGGGGAGAAAGGAGCAAAACACTTCTCCATCTGCATCTGGGGCAGGTCTTTATTGCTGGCTTTCTGGTGTGTAACAGTAGCAAAGCTCAAACAGCTGTGACATTCCTACATCTGTGACTCAGGGCTTTACTATTAATAGCTTGGCTGTCTCAGTCTGTAAGTAAGGGCTAAGTCCCCTTCAGCCCCTGGGTCCTCTTTTCTATGACACGCTTTGCCCACACCACGCCCCTCCCCCACGCCGCCCTACAGGGTCATGGTTTTCCTGTGTCAGCAGCCAGCTGGAATATAAACACTGAAGAGCCTTTAAGCAGCCTCTCTAACCTCCATTCATAACTACGAGCCAAGCATGAGAGGGACGCCATCCAAAATGCGGAGGGATGGCATGGTTCAAAAGCACCTTGGAGACCAGCCCTCTGCATTCCCCATTTTTCATGGCTAAAACTGCACTTGTCTACTTTTCAAGCCCTGATCACGCTCAGAGCCTTTAAAGAGATGCTGACAGCGAAATCAACTGCAGAGTGCTGGAATTAGTTTGTGCGGGCGCTTCTCTGTAAGGCTCTCAGATATTGTGCTCAAAGCTAAGAGAACGGTGATGCTGGGGTATGGTGTGCAGGAGGGGCTGGGTTCCATCCCCAGCACTTCAAAAAAAAAAAAACTAAAGAACAGCCTTCTTTCTTTCTTTTCGTTTTTGTTTTTTCCTGTACCGGGAATCGAACTCACGACCTCTCACTTGCCAGCACACCAGGCAGGTGCTGTGCCACTGAACTAAATCCCCAGCCCCCATAGCTTTCTTTCCTTTACCACCTCCCTTTGTTTCCTGCTGGAGACTGTTGGTTTCCAGTCCAAACTCAACCCTACATGAACGTTCCAGATACTGTAGATGTCATTAGTTTAACTCCTCTTTTTACTCAGGATGATAGATTTAAGTTTATTGACCAAGCTGGTCTCTCCGTGCAGCTTCTAATCTACCTGTAGCCCTTTGGGGATAAACTGCTCCATCTAGAAAGGTTCTTTGGCAGCTTGGGAGACTGAGGAGCAGAGTCTATTCATTTCCAAAGGAGCCTTTTCTAAAGGAAAACTCTACACAGTGGCTCAGAGAGCTCCCCGCTCCAGTGTTTTCCATGGAAAGAATTTTCCTGTACCATAGTCACGGTGCATGAGTCACCAGCAGTTAGCTGCTAAATAACAGTCATATGGCAAAAGTCCCCCCCACAATCAGATGCTGCTACTTTAGGATAAAAGCAGCCACGCTGCACTTTCAAGATAACCAGAGGGTATTGCTAAAGTTATTTTTGGAATGTGGGAGAGTAAAACCAAATTGTTTTTGTCTCCCTGCCTCAGGATAGAACCCGTAAGAGCTTGGAGAACAGAAGCGAAGTGGAGAGATTTTCTACTTACAGTCAAAGCTGCAAGAAATATGGCAAAATAAATCAGGAGAAAAAAATAAAATTGCTAGTGCATAAGAAATCTTTTTATTCTTATCGCTAAGGGTGATTTTCATAGAAATTACCTCAGTCTCCTTCTATTCTGATGAGATAAATCTTCGGAGACAGACACTGACCCAGGGCTTTATTTGTTATTTTACCCCCACCCCTCAATGGACTCATTGCTGCCTTTTCATTCACTAGAAAAATGACGCACGGATTATCAGTGAGCAAAGGACAGAGACCAGTTTGTGGGAGAGAAAAGCTTGTTAGCATACAACCACTCCTGGCAGAAGTTCAAGCCTGCATCATCCCCATAAAAATGCCAAAAGAGGAAAATGTTACTGCTGGAAAATAAGCATCCAGGAAGAGTCCATTTCCTTGCTGCCAAGCTTTCTGCAGGGACCCTGTAGGCAGGAATTTCAGGATCCTCCACTGCTCCAGACCCAGGTGTCCAGGGAGCAACCCTCAATACCTCTTTGGCAAGTAAGCACTCAAAATCCTTTCTAGCAGAATTCAGGGACAGAAAGCTTGACAAGGAGTCCCTTATTTAGCCTCTAATTATGTTTATACCCATTGACACTGATGGGAAGCCTGATGCATGCTACATAGGTCCTGCATAGGCCATACAAAAAGGAGAGAAACAGCTCCTTTGGAGGAACTGGTGATTCCAAATTTTTCTAGCGTGAGACAGATTCCTGTATGTCTGATCCTACCGACTATCATGCCCTTAACTGACAATTCTTAGGATACTTTAATATGAATTTCATAGAATCAATTCCCAGCAACATTCTTGCACCAAAGTTCTTTAAAGTAGAATTATCTTACATTTGTTTCCAAAACTCCCTTGGGATCTTTCTCAAGAGCCAATTCTGAGTCTGGACCTAAGCAATGGGTTACAGCTCAAGAAAATGATAAAAATTATAACAGTTTATCTAAGGTCACCACAAACAATTCACCAAGGATAAAAATGACAGGGTAAACATCAAATTAGTCCTCTTTCTACAGATGCAATAGAATTACTGGAATTCAAAGCATCTTGTGAAAGCTTCACAAATTTTAGATTAATTTCAGGCATATGAGAAGTTCACATAGTACAGAAATAGCTCTGAATTATTTGTGAGGGCCATTTTTAAAAATACTTTACTATTAGCTTTCTTTTCATTAATATTTTTTTTTTCAGTAGAAATCTAGTTATTAGTATATAAAATCAGTTGCTTTCTGTCAGGTAGAACTGTGATATCTTTCCTAGCAGTATTTCCTTCTTTTTGATACTTAATATCACCAGGGGTTGGAACTTAACTATACTGCAATGAAAGGTTAATACGTCTGTGTTTTCAAGACTGTGGGCTATCAGAGGGACGTGCTCAATGTTATGACATCTGCATTCATATAGTAACAGACCCAAAAGTAGGAATACAATTTGGGTTTGGGGGTATACCGGAGATTGAACCTAGGGCCTTCACACTGATCGACATCCCCAGCGCTTTTTATTTTTTGAGATAAGGTCTTGCTAAGTTCCCCACGCTGGCCTCAAACTCGAAATCTTCCTACCCAGTCTCGTGAGTAGCTGCGATTACAGGCATGCCTGTGCCCGGATAAGAATGCGGTATGTGGTGAATGCTAAGTGCGTTAGCCTTCCCTTGTTGTAACAAATCCCTAGGATAGTCAATTTAGAAAAGGTTTACTTTGGGAAGTTTCAGTCTATAGTTGGTTGGCCAAGGCAGCACATCATGGTTGGGAACAGGTAGCACAGCCAAATGCATCTCTGCCCCTGGGCAGGACCCAAAAGAGAGGGGAAGGAAAGGGAGAAGGGGAGGGGGAGGGGTGCAGGAGATGGGGAGAAAAGGAGGAGGGGGAGGGGAAGAGAGGGAGAGAGGGAGAAGAACTGGGCTGGGGTTCCCATTATCCACTGGAGGCTTGTCCCCAGTGACTGGAAGACCTCCCACTAGGCTCCATCTCTTAAAGATCCCATGGCCTCCCCACAGCACCCAGCAGGGGATCCAGCCTTCCACACAGGGACAGTTCAGACACAAACTACAGCATCAAAGAATAAGTGATGATAGGTTGCCATATACAAGTCAAAATTTTAAACAAGTGCTCAGTTTTCATAATCTAATAGACTGATTTAAAAATCCAACTCAAATATATGAGTAAGAAATTCAGTCTCTTAAGTTGGGCTTGGTGGTGCACGCCTGTAATCCCAGCACTTGGGAGGCTGAGGCAGGAGGATCCTTGTGAATTTGAGACCAACCTAGGCTACAAAGTGAGCTCAAGGCCAGCCTGAACTGCATATCGAGACCCTGTCTCAAAAAAGACAAAAAAAAAAAAAAAGGAAATTCAGTCTCTTAAACAAAAGTCAGTTTAGGCTGAGGATATAACTCAGTGGCATAAGCACCTGCCTGGTAAGAGCAAAGTCCTGAGTTTGATTCCCTGTACCAAAAAAAAGAAAAAAAAGTCAGTTTAGCAATTACTTGAAAATATTTGTCAAGATGCAAACCAATAATTGGCCTGTACAGAAAGGAAGCTAAAAAGGAACTTAATCAGGCTGTCATTTTATGAAGTCTTAATAAT